ATTAATTCTTAATTTATCTTGTATCTCACATATTTGTGTACATGTAAATACCTTACGCACAACAGAATGTAATCTTCTTGGGGGGAAGGAACTATTTGTATTGATCTCAATAACTTTAGCACAAAACCTGGCAACATAGTAAGCAATTAATAAACATTTGCTGAAGTCAACTGAACTAAATGCTATCCTCTCCATCCAGTGAGCTAAGCTCTCCAATGTCCTAACCTTCAAAGAGGCAATCCTAAATAGGAAAAAGTTTCAATAAATTATCAAGAACAAGATTTCTATACAAGTTACCCCTAAAAAAGAAGGAGTTATGAAAGGTTTTCTTCTCACAGAGAATTTGGAAGATGAACTGTTGCCCCAGATTTAAAAAAAAAAGTAGTTCTTCTAGTTTAATGGATTGATAAAAATAACCTAACAGCTAATAATAATAATAATAGAAATTACTTATTATTAAATTACCTATCCTAGTGATAAGTAGGACTCTTCTTAAAAACAAGAGACAGGCTGTGCAAAACAGGAAAGGGAGAGGGAATGCTGTATGTGAGGAACAGCAAGGTGGCAGGTCTGGCTAGATCACAAAGTGCATTGGATTTGAACTATGAGAAGTATTATAATAAACCTGAAAAGGGAAATTGATGTTCAAGTTTTCTGACTTACGTTCTTCTGTGTCTTTGAGATCAGTATGTTTTGCTTATATGCAGAATATATTTTTCTTTAATGTTACTGTTTTTTGCTTCTATTCTTCCAGATTGTCCTTTACTTCTGTGTATTTCCATTCCCAATCAGTTCTCTATTTTGAATCTTTGGTGAAACTTGCCGGCATGAATTTCTTCTATTCATGAAGTTTTTCTATCCTGCCAATCATTTATTCTATGCAGGACACAAATTTTGTTTTCACAGTTCCTATTTTTCTTTTAAGCCATTCAGGAACATCTTGCTATGGTCCCATGCTATCTTTGGAATCCATGGTGTCTTCTGCCTCATCAGGTGTTGATTCATTATCTTTTATCTTGCAGTATTCTGCTAGGTGTAACAGTGAATAGGGGCATTGGACCTGGAATCAGTAAGACCCAAGTTCAAATCCAGCCTTAGATACTTAGCTTGTAACCCTTGACAAGTCACTTAATCCCTTGTTTGTCTCAGTTTCCTTATCTGGAAAATGGGAATAATAATATCTACATCCCAGGGTTATTAGGAAGATCAAATGAGAGATAGTTATAAAGAATTTATCACATTGTCTGGTCCATAGTAAGTATGATATAAATGTTAGCTATTATTAATAATAATTATTATTATTACTAACACCATTATGCATTCATTCACATATACATGTGTATATCTGTATTGCATAAATATACACACATACATGTACATAATACCTATACACATCTACATGTGTGTGCACCTGTGTGTACATATTTATATGTGTATGGATACATTTACATAGATATGTGCATTTTACATATGTGTACATGGTAACATGTGGTATGTATCCATCTAAATATGTGTATACAGGTAGCATCCATACATGTGATCACATACATGTGTGTATGTATACATGTGTACATGCACACCCATACATACATACATATATGCCTCATTCTGTACTCTTATTCTTTAACCTATCTTTCAGAAGGTGAGCAGCATATTTCATCACTAGTCCTCAGGAATTGTGAGTGGTGATTACATTGGTCAGAGTTCCTGTCTTTCAGAGTTATTTGTTTTATAATACTGCTGTCAGTGTATGAATTGTTCTGTTGGTTCATAGGTTCTTCTTAGATTTCTCTGACACTATCCATTTCATCATTTCTTACAGCACACTAGGATTCCATCATATTTATATACCATAACTTGTTCAGCCTTTTCTCAATTGATGCACACCCCCTCAGATTCCCATTATTTGCCACCTCAAAAAGAGCTATAAATATTTTAGTATAGTGCAGTAAGTTTGTTAGAGTTTGTTTATCCTAGGACCAATTCCTCCCTTAATCTACCACCTCTCTAATTCCCTTCTCTTTCCCTATTGAATTAAATATATTTCTTTACTCAACTGTGTATGTATATTCTTCTCTCCTCTAACCAGCTTAGATGAAGGTGAGGTCAAAAAAATACCCCCATTTCTTCCACATTTTTTTTGTAGATTTCTACCTGTATAAGATAATTTTCCCTAACAATGTTTTCCTTTCCCTCTTCCCCCTGTGTATTACTCTTCCCTTTTTATGATCATAAAGATATAACAGAACCATGGCTACACTTTCTGTCTAATAGACTCTGAAGTGTTTTCTTACATGGTTCAATGTCACAGGACAAAGAAGGTATAGCCTCTAATATAGGTGAGGAAACCTCCAACCTGAGGTCATCTAAAGCTAGTGATGGAAAAATAAATGCTGACACATCTACCTACTTGGGTGATCAGAGGTTAGGATCAGGATAATAGTACTTTTAGTGAACTTATTTATTGCCTTGACATAATTGACTCTATTTCATATTAGACCATCATTTTGTGATAACGTGTTTTGATATTTGTTTTTCATAACTTGTTTTTCCAATATTAAAATAAGCATATGTCTGGTTTAGATTTGTAAACAATATTAAGTGTGTTTGTGTAAAACTGGTAAAAATAATATATGAAAATATAATATACAAATATATATTAACTATAAACATCTATCATATACATAAATAATGTATAAAACTGGAACCCCCACTTGGGAAAATTTAGTAAACAATCTTATCATTAGTTATCAGGTATAAATCAAATTAATTGATAATCAGATTAGGTCCCTGAACAACAATGAGAATTTGGACGCAACCAGCTAACACCCATAGCAAGAACTATAATAAACCTACCATGGACTCCCAGCCTTCAGCTTGACCTTGAGTTATAACCAAGGTAGCTTCTGCATTCCCCATTCCTGACTTGAGAAGACTCAAGTATTTGCGTAAGGGCAGTACCAATTGACTAAATGAAATGGAGGGAAACACATGGCCTGTGGCTGTGCAAAAAGGAACTTTTGTCACTGAGTACCAGTAGGAGATGTGCTTACTGGGAAGTCTTAAGAACCACCAGATTGGTGTTTCATTCTTAGTGGGGTCAAAGTTTATATTGTTTAATAGAAAAAAGAAGCTGATGTTTGCATGCATATGATTAATAAAGTTTAACTGCTAAGTTAAACATAGAGAAGTATAAATCTAATTAATGTTTCTATTGCACTAGTTGGCACATATAACAGTAAATTGGTTTTGGCACCGTGTTACATTATCACACAATTAGAGTTGGAAGGGACCTTAAAGGTTATTATGGCCTAGATCTGACACCTCTAAGTACCCCTGGTAATTCAGGTTTGATATTAGAATGAAATATGATAAAATAAATATGACAATTCATAAAATTCAATAGTTGACAAAAGGAATTTACTTGGTCAAAGCAAGAGAAAGATATTGAACAAGGATATGCATCAAGAACACAAACTGATTCAGCTGAGTGAAGTTCCCCTGCTTCTAAGTTGGTCTGCCAGCCAAACCTCAGAGACAGGTTTATACAGATTTTTACTCAGGTGACCCAGAAGTGATTTCAATCACTCCAGCCATTGGTCACCTAAGCCACGTCTTGAGGATAGTTTCAATACCTTTTAAGGAAAAAGTAACCTAATTTGCATGGGGTCAGAAGGGTTAGAATCTTGCTCCCATCACAGAAGTTATCTAGTCCAACTCTCACATTTTAAAGATGAGCCAGATAAGGCCAAAGATGCTAAGCAGCTTTCCTAAAGGGAGAAAGAATTTGCAGAGCCAAGATAAAAACAGGGCATTATCAGTTTCAATCATCACACATCACAATAGGTTCCAGAGTAATGAGGCTGCCAAACCTCATCCCTAAGAGAGGCATCCACCTTCACTATCTGAGTACCAGAAGGAGTACTCCTACTTGTGGCACTCATTCAAGCAAGTGTCCAGGATCCATTGCCATAGTGTACAAAGGAAACACGTACTGATTCAATCACAGAAAAAAACATAAACAGCATCCTTAGTACTGGCCAAAGCAACTCCATAACCAAGTTAAATCTATGAGTCTATTGAGTTAAATATGGAAAAGTTTGTATTGCCATTATAATATTCTTGATCAAGAAGGGTCTTAAAATACCAATTTCATAAATATTCAATTTATTCAGGGAAAAGTATGGTCATATAATTGGCTTCAAGTTTGGTTCTGCACACTCTAATTCAACTGAAAAGACATAACTCATTTCCCAGTCAATTATTTTAATATAAGACCTAAAAGTGGATAACATATTCCTTACATAACACCAATAAGGAGATTACTGAAGCATAAAAATCATACACCAAATTTTGGCTTAAAATAAATTAAAATGGTAGTAAACAGATACACTTCACAAATGAAATTAATACTGAAAAAAGAAACTATTACTCTACTACTATGGGCAATTTTAGAATGATTTGGATATTTTATTTTATACTTCTAAACTCACAAAAAATTTAATGATGAAGAGAAATATTTCTGGATCCAATTAAGTAATGCATTTTTGGAATATGTTAACCAGACACCCATTCTTTCCTAAAGAAAGTCACGATTTTAGCTGTGTGACCCTGGGCAAGTGACTTAACCCCAACTGCCTCACCAAAAAAAAAAAAGAAAAAAAGACTTTGGGAAGAAAGCCACGATTAAGAATTAAAGATATATGTGTGTGTGTGTGTGTATACACGCACATAAATATGTATATATGCTTGTATATATATTTATATGTATGTCTGTGTACATGTATCTATATATATATCTATATCTATCTCTATATATCTCTCTCTCTATATATATATATCTATATCTACATCTATATAGATATAGATATAGATATAGATATATATGTAATTCCCAACTAGTTTTAATTTAATTAGAATTCCATTATGGTTCCGAAATAGGATGCAGAGTGTGGAAAAAGATACAAACATTTTTCAACACTCCGGTAGAAGTAGCATACCTGTGCCTTCATCTGAACCTCCCGGAGGAGTTCAGTATAATGCTGTTCCAAATCCTTCTTTTGTTTCTGCCAAGAGCTCTCCTGTGCTTTAATCTGTTCTGCCACTTTATTAAAAGTGTCTTCCTGGGTCTGCTGAAGCTCCCTCAGAGTATCAGACTTGTTTTTACAAACATATTCTAGATGAGTTATCTATATGGTTATATGATAGACACAAGAAATAAGGTCAAATCATTTTTTCCAATTCACAATAAGTTTTTCTTCTCATTTTTATTTTCTTCCTAAATGATATAAAAAACTAAGCCAGACATAAATTAGCACATTAAGAGGGAAACTGAGATAAGTATATTCTGTGATTATACTTTACCTAAAAATTGAAGCATTTAGTTCAGTATTAGTATCATATAAAAGTTATGCTACAAATAATCATAAATAAATCATAAAATCATATAAAATTTTTGCTATAAATATGATCATTTTTTAACTAAGTTATTAAATTTAAAATATATTTCAAAAAAAGATATTCAAGAAATGATATCCAGCAAAAAATTAAGTGAGAAGCTATAGAGCTCCCCTTAAAGTTAAACCAAGAATCTCCATTTAAGAAAAGCTATCCAAATCTGCATACAAATGAATTTGCATACAATAAAATAAAATGTTTCATGCTGATTTGAGGATACCAATAAAAAACTTTGAGGAAAGGCCTTTTCTTTTTCACGTATTCATTCATGTAGCAACTAATGAAATTTATAAATTATAATAATAACAGGAGCTCATTGAAAAATCTATAAAATCATAATAGGCTTAATATCATTATAATAGTTAATCACGTTTAGCATTGTTAAAATTTTCTGATCAAATAGAACATGTTTTTATACAGATTCAAAATCATAAGTATCATTTACACTGTCTCTAAACCTTCCCACTATCATCCTTCCTAGAACATTCTAGTGACCCTACTAATAGGATCAGAGCCAAAATTATCAATAGTAAGGAACTCCTGATGTTGGGCCAAGAAATTGTTTCATGTCTCCAACAGATGAAAAACTTATGGAACCGTTTTTCTCTTCCTATCCCTCAAGAGCAAATGTCAGTACAGCCAAGATCTGGAATCCTTCTCCTAGACCACATGAACATAGTTCTAACCAGCTAGTTCAATAGAGCCAGAAAATGAGCCAATATCTTTAACAGCAACATGTCCACTAAGCCAGTTTAATTTATTATAAACTAAAGAGGGATTTTGAGTGTGTTTCCTTTGGAAAGACTAAAAATTTAAGTCTTATGAAATAGTAAAGTAATCATAAAAGTCTACTGTACTTATCCCTCAAAAAATATTTACTATATTATGAACCACAGATTTTATAATTACATATATCATTATCTTTTAGAAAACATGTTATAAGCATGTAATTATTTTTAAAATGATAATACCTCAATTTTACCAAATCAATTATTTTAAGATTACATTTTTGGGGAACTATAGCTTGTTTCTGTTTTATGCTAAGATAAAGTGTTGGTTTATTAGAGTAAATGACTAAGTCCTTTGAATTGCTTCATCAGTAAGATTAATTTATTTTCTTTTAATTAGGTCCCTGTGGCTAACACTGGCTAGTAGTATTAGCATGTCCTGCACAGAAAGTGGAGCTTAGAGACTTCATACAGACTTCAGTCACATTTACATGCCCACAGCAATGGCATCAAACTGAGTTGTAGACAAGCCATAATTAATGGTATTGAATTATTAACATCCAAATTCTTTTTGAAATAAGATGAATGTCAGCCTTTCTTAATGATACTGTGATGTGGACAAATGTCACTGAATTTAATAGAGGTATCTGGTGCCTGAGGACAGTTACCTTCTCATTAGCCCTGTTGAGGTCTAAGATCAGGGCATCAACATTCTCCTGCAAGACTGCACAAAGCTCAGACCAAGAGAATTTATCCAGCATGCCTTCTGGTTGTTTTATAAGCACACAGCCTGCTACCAAGTGCTGATATAAAGTATGAAGGAAGGTTAGCTTCTCCTGTGAGGAAAGCAAAAAAATTAACTTCAGTATATAAACATTGTAGGAATCTAAATGTACATATACTTCCAAAGCCTGAACAAGATCATAACACAGAATTTCAAAATGTGGCAGTTTTAATTAAATTATTTTTACATTCTAAGAAAAGGAAATATAACTGTTTATAAATTATAATTCATAAATGTTTATAACTGTGACATATTTCTCTTTAAATTTTTTACAAGAAAGGTATGTTATTTAAACCAAGGTGCAATTTAGAATGTTACTATATTTTTTTGAACAATTTAAATAATTTCAGCATTTTCCATGTATACAATTGCTCTAATTCCTTCTCTTCTTTCTAGCTCTCAGGTTTTACACATTTATTATAGGCAATTTATCCCAAGCCCCTTAAGCTTATCAGCTAGTGAAATGAGGGTTATAAGGTAGATAAGCCTGTTGTATTTTTTCCCAAATATATGCCCTTCCATCCTCTCATTAGACACATAAGAAGTACATAGCACTTTTTTTTCATTATTACAAGGCAATAGCACAACTCATTTCCTATAAGAAAAACAATGTGATAGATAATCTGCACAAGATATAATATCCAAAAAGTCAAATTGGAAACATCAAATAAAAGTGACGTGTTAAAATGCATTGGGAAATTGCAAAAAAACAGTATTCACTTAAGAGTAGAATTTAATATGAAGCAAATACATTTATTCTTAGAATTTGACCCAAGGCATGAATTCTGAAAATAAAGTTAGAGTGGAGCTAGAGTATAAGGTTTTTATACAGAAAATACAATCTTATAAGATTATCTTTCAACAGATTACTATAAAAAAAAACACTTATCAAGAGAAATTTATAAAAACTATACTGTATCATAAGGAAATCATAGGACTTAAGAGATTTCCCTTCAACTTATTTAAATGATGTGCTTTATACTCATGCTATGCAGCATAGCAAAGTACCTTTTCAAAATGGAACACTTTAAAAAAAGAAAGAAAAGAAAAGAAAAAAAATTGAACATAGCCTTAAAACCAAAAACTAGGTTCAGAAGTCAAGAGAAAGTTTTTAAATGTGCTCTGAGTTGTTAATTTGATAGGTTAATATTCTGCATTTTTCAACTGCTGAAATGGTCAAAGATCTTATTCAAAATAAATCATCCTATATAGTATACAAGCATTAAAAAACTTCCCTAAACATATCATCAAATGATCAAGAACTTTTTCAGTGTTAACAATTGTGTTGCCATTGTATTCTGTTTGCTTGGGCTATGATAAACCAGGCATGATAATCATCCATTTGGCATGAAAAAGAAATCCCAAGACCCAAAATCAATTCACACATGTTGAACCCAACCACAATGCTGTAGACATGCTGACTTTACAATACAGTCAGGCTTCTAGTTTCCTTTACTTTAATCATTATCTGATGTGTAGAACAATTCCAACCGCTTCATGTGGACACAATTTAAATCCCAGACTGTAAAAATGATGGAAAGAATGTTTCTGTTTCACTCAGTTGGCATTATTGTTGATATTTGTTAGAATAATGAGCTCAATATGCAGAACAACTCAGATAAGTTAGTTCTTTGCTAGCTAGACTGGTTGTATACAAGTCAAAATAAAATAGAAGACCATTTATTTGGTTAACAAAGAATTCTCCTATGAGATAAACATGTTTTGCTACAGTATGAATTCATTTAATTCAACAAATATATTAAACACCTACTATTTGTAAGCATTGTGCTTTAAGCAATGGTGATATAAACAGGATAGAGACCGTACTCTCAGGGAACAGACAGTCTAATTTAGGAGAAGGATAAGTACACAAATAACTTTGATTTTAAAAAAAAAAAGTAATATGGCAGGAAGAGGTCCAAGCAAAAAAACAACAACAATAATAATAGCTATTATTTATATGGTATCTACTATGTGCCAGGTACTACGCTTAGTGCCTTGCAAATATTATCTCATTTGATCCTTATAACAACCCTGGGAGGTAGGTGCTATTCTTACTGCAATTTTACAAGTGAGGAACATGAGGCAGACAGGGTTTAAGTGCCTTGCCCCAAGTCACAGAGCTAGGAAGTGTCAGGCCCAAATTTGGGCCCAGGGTTTCTTGACTCCACAGCTAGCATTCTCTTACCCTATGCCACTGATTGGGAATAGGAGTAGGAGGCAGGGTAGGAAGGAAGAAAGAAGGAAACATTCCAGACACAATATAAGTCAGCAAAAGTAGGAAAATAATAGCAAATGGAGAACAATTAAGCATGGCTAGAAACATAAAACATACAAAAAGAAGAAGCATGATTTAAGGCTTCAGGTATATTAAAGCATATAGACACAGCCTTGAATGACAGTACCAGCAGTTCATATTTTATTCAGTAGCCAAGAAAAAGTCACTGCTGAAGTTCTTTGAGAAAAGCAGCAACAGGATCACAACAATGCATCAGGATGATTAGGTAGATAATGGCATGGAGGATAGACTGAAGAAGGGAGAGACTCCAGCAAGGAAGACAAGTTAGAAAACTAATGAAACATTTTAACTGAAGAGAGAAGATACTGAAACAGAATAGCAGCAGTGGGAGTGGAGAGGACTGGGACAAACAGTGTATGTGAACTATCATGCTGTGAGTCAAAATTTGAAAATGAAGCGGGCCTTAATGCTCAGTGTTTCACAGATTTCTAAAATTCAATTATTTTAACAATTAGTACTCTGGAATTATAAAATTCTCAGATTATTAAAATGTAAATTTATAATCAGGAGACAAGGCACCAGAGAAGTACATTTTAGAGCCAATCTACTTGGCATGGTAAACTCCTTCTAAATAGGGACTATTGCATTTGTATTTGTATCCTCAGGGCCTGAGCATAGCTCCTTGCACTGGAGGTGCTTAATAAATGCTTATTAATTGATTGATAGAATGAAACTCTAAATATCTCATCGGGTAAAATAGTATGATAAAGTAAAGGAGTAGCCAATTTTATGGATAAAGTATGCATATTTCAAAATGTATCGCATAAACTCATCTTTGGAAACAAATCACAGAAGACCAAAAGCAGCCATTTTGATGTATATAAATGTATAAAACAAGATTAGATGAAGATCTTTTCTGACAGTGCTTTTGTCTCTAGTAATACCTCAATATCCTTATGGAAAGCCTGCGAAAGCTTCTGGATTTCATTTTCAGATTGTGCTCCTCGCATTTTCTCTTTCTCCCAACAATGTAGAACATTTTGGAGTTCCATTTTTAAAGTGCCTATTATAGATTCTCTGTCTGCATACTTAGTTCGCAGGTGATTTAACTCTTGATTGACATTAACCAGTTTATCCTGTGCTTCCTGTCAAAGATACCAAATAAAAAGTGACTAGTGAGTTTATTGATAAAGCATTTGAGTAGGTGACTTCTCAATATGCATAGTGAAGTACATAAAATTTTTTTCCCAAGGGGATAGGGAGGAGAAAGCACCTGAATTAAACCAAAAAGATACCTTGAATTGAAATTAACACAGATCCTGAAGATTTTAATAAATGATAGCATGATTCAAAATTACTGTCACCTTATTTGCTTCTTTTCACTTTCAGTTTTCTACTATAACTCCTTTTTCTTCCAGAGAGCTACTAGTCCAATAATCATCAAACATAATTCCTCCAATTGTAATATATATGATAAAATATATAATACATATGCTAAATTAACAATCTGAGGCACAGGTTAAAAAACCCATATGAAAGCTTTTTTCTTTACTAAATTCCTAATTATTTTGTTGATATTTATGTTTTAATGGCAATGTTTTACTTGCAAATCTGAAAACTAAAAATGCTTTAACATTTACACTAATACTAAACCTTATTAATAAGATGCCCATCTTCCAATATAGCCTTTAACAATAAGATAAGTACATTTATGATTCACTTCTAAGTGCTTAAGATGAGAAATTTTAGCTATTTTAATAACCTTCCCATGTACTTCTGATATTCACATGTTAAAACTTTAAAAAAATACTACTATGTGTCCATAAACTAATACAATAAAAATTACACAAAAATTGGGCACTCGGGAATTTTAAGAGTTTAATTTTGTCTTGGCACAACAAAGTACCAGCTAAGAAACTTAAAAGTTTTAAATGTCAGAATATCAAATTACAAAGCTGTTTAAATTAGTGATTCTTAGCTCTCCTAACCAGAAAAGATATGAAAAGCAATTTCTCTTTCCCAAAATGATCAAAACATATTCCAAATTAAAGAATTCCATTCTTTTTTTTAACAAATCAGAATAATACGACATTTCACATTTTATCCTTTATCTTTTTTGGAATTTAATTTTTGGCATTACATTTAAATTTAAAAACTAGATTTAATTTGATCTTAAGCATATTTTTCCCAGTAACATAAAACATAATTCCAAAACAATGTATATGAAGAATGAGAAAATACTATTTTTAAATCTTTGGCTGAACAATACAAATTTTGAAATGTGTAAAACTAAGGTTAGTTTATATAACATATAAAATATATTCAATAAAATATTGGAAGGTAAAATTTTCACTATTCAAATGCAAACTTTTTCATAAAGATGAAATTTTAGTTTATCTTAAAATCCAAAAGTATTCAATATAAAAATCATTAAATGTGATAGCAAAAGAAAAAGCTCTATTTCCAAAATGGAAAGATAGCATCCTAAATAATACCTTTAGACTTTTGTTTTGACATTTCATCTCCTGTTTGGTAGCATCAAGTTCCCTAAATGTTTTTTCAGAAGTCATTTGCAGGCAGTTTAGCTAATAAAAAAAATAAAAATAATTTAAAAAAATTTTTACAAACAGCAACATAAAAAGCTAAATATTTTACTTTATAACCAGAGTCTACATAAGAGCATCTATTTTAATTTTTTAAAGTCAATCTCAAAATTATAATTCACTTAGTTTATATTTATTTATAGATCCTGTCATAAGCTTATGTTATGAAAAAAGGAGGGAAGGTACTCAAGCTTAAAATCTTAGTGACATTTTTATAAAATTTTATTAGATGCCACAAATCTTTATGTTTTTTTCATTTTCATTGTAAATACTTTAATTGCTAAATTTTTCCAGACCAAAAAGCCAAAAGCAGTGGCATCGATAAGGAAAAATAAGGATAGAGATGACTTCTCATTCTACACATGCTGAAGGTATTCAGTGGGTCTCTGGCTCCATATGACAATTTCAGGGTCAGTCACATGCAGTCCTACTGGGAAGGCTTGTGGCAGGTCATCAGTTGGTCCTGCACTGCCTGTGATTTATTTTCTTTGACAGTTCATTCTTCTTTCTGTCAGACTCCTCTTTTTGCTTTCTTTGCAACCACCCCCTTGGTCTCCCCACTGCTGTCTCTGGCACTGTTTCACAACAAAGCGCATTACTAAGCCAAAGCCTGCTGAGTCGACTTTTCAACTGCACTGAGGATCATGTGACATTCATCCTCCCAAATAACAATTCGCTGTGGGTAACATGTTCCTGGTTACTTTGCAGCTTCCAGATCTGGGCCTCAGAAGAGTTTCATAAACTACACAATACTAGTTACCTTATCTCACTGGGAAAGTCCTAGAAATACCTGCTGTTTACAGAAATGTGATTATTTCCATGGTAACTTTTTTGTGATGCTTGAACAAACACAAAGGGCATAAAAAAGACAATTTATTTTCTTTATTCCCCCCAGTAAAGGGGGCTGGGGGAGGGAAGCCTTCTAAAACTGAAAGTTAATGTTTATATCACCTATCTATAGCGCTTGGCACAATGCTTGGTATATGGTAGGAACTTTATAAATGTTTGTTGACTTGATGACTTGACTCTCAGGCCAATAAAAGCCAAAGATTGTGAATGTAAATTTAAAACTCAAAATCTATGCTATGTAACTTCTCCTTGTTTCAACAATCTGTTCCTTGTTTTGTTAGCTAATTGCATCTAATATAATTATTTTGTATGATCTAATGTGACAAGATGTAACTAAACTCTTCAATTTTTAAGCAACAAATTCATAAAACATTTTAATACCCAAAAAGATTATCAACCAACACATTAAAACAATACAAATGAGATGATAAATATAAGCATGAGATTTTTCAGTTAGTAAACGAAAAGCTCCCAGGCTACATCAAACAGATACTTAATTTTTTTTTAAACCTAACTATACTTTGCTCCCTTTAGAGAACTGTAACACAGATTTCTCTCCCTTTTTTCCTAAATGGTGTACTAAATAGAAGGAAACAATTCACAATTCTTATTCAATAATGGACTAAAATAGATATTATTTTCTAAATTTCTAGTTGAAGATACATGATTTTTAAATCCATTATCTTATATGTTTAAATCATTGGTAACCCTTTTAAAAATAAACTAAGGAGAAGGGGACATTAAGAAACAGAAAATAATTAGGAATTCAGAAGTTTAGGATTATATAAGAAAATTAAATTTGTGACATATTACTTTAGGGTAACCTCAAAGAAAAAACTGTGACAGAGAATTATTTTTTGCTATCACTGAAGCTGTCAATTCAACATTCTCAATCTTTTGACCTTTGTAACAAGTAAGGAATATGTACTACGCAGGCCGAAGGCTATGTGTGTGGAGACAAACAGTGCAAATATTACCTCATTAGATGCATCTTCCAGCTTGTTCTGGTAATCTGTCAAGGTACGCCTCAAAGTCTCAAGGACAACAGAGAAGCTGGGAGCTTTATCTTCATCCTTGTGGATGCCTGGAGAAAAACAGAGGATGAAAATAAAGCTCTTCAAGTCACAGGAAGACAAAAGCTAACCAAACTGTAACAGAGATATTATAATTACATAAGGCTGCAATGACAATATGGAACACAAAATAGTAATGTTATTCTCCAAGGCATTATGTTGTGTAGATATGTTTTCCTATCCCATTAAAACAAATGGTCAAATTAAAGTTTATAAAGTAGCAGGTTTAAGTATGTAAGCTACTCTGATGAAGTCCACATGCTGCTGTTGTTTTTTCCTATTTGTCAATGACTGATAATTTGCTATGCACCTGTTCTGCATATAACTAAATAAACATTCCATATTTAAAGGTTAGTTTCTTTTTCTCTTTTTCAATATGCTTTGGTTCTTAGCATTTTTGACCAGTCAAACCAGTTATAATTTACTATTCAATCTACTTAATAAATCACTTCTGAGCCCAAGTGCACATAATTTTCTATTATGCTTGGAAATATCCTTCAACCCTTAAATTCTCTTGAGTTACTATCCAAAATAAACAATCAAAATGCTATTATCTACACAGACCTACATCATGTTTCAATTAAAACTCTTTAAAACGGATATACTCACTGTACAAATATGTATATTTCCATTTATTATACCCTCAAACTACATTTTTAGCTGAGTTGTTTTAATCAGTGTTACATGGTCAAATACAGTTCAAAATATTAATGCAGTATGGTCAATAGTTTTTAAATCTTTTAATTTATGGGCTATATTAATATTCTACTTTCCTATAATTAAGCCTAAATCTTGTCATTTCTACTTTCATAGCATGTGATATAGATGTCCCCTTTAGTCCCACTCACATAGCCACCATAACTTCATACAAAGATTCATCATAACCTGTTTAAACAACTGCAATAGCTGTTTAATAAGTCTCTCTGCCTTAATTCTCTTCTCACATCAATCCACACAACTGCAAAATTGATCTTCCTAAAGAGTAATTCTGACTGTGACATCCATTAATCAATAATAAACATCAGCGGCTCCCTATTACCTCTAGGATCAAATATAAAGTCTTTTGTTTGGTATTTAAAGTTCTTCATAACCTGGTCCTTTCCTTTTTCTACTGCACATTTTACTTTACACAGGTATACTAGCTTATTGGCTTTTCCTTGTACGTGACACTCCATCTTCCATCTCCTCGCTTTTTCATTAACTGTGTCTTCCATGGCATTAATGTTCTCCCTCCTTACCTTCACTCAGTTTCCTTGGCTTCCTTAAAGACTCTACTTGAATACCACATTCTATAAGAGACCCTTCCCAATCCCCCACCTACTAAGTTCTCCTCCAAGGTCAGCTTCCATCTACTCTTATATATCTTATATGTACTTTCTTTCTTGCTGTCTCCTCTCTTACAAAGTAAGCCCTTTGAGAAAAGGTGTTTTTGTTTTGTTTTTACCTTTTTTTGTATCACTAGTGCTAAGAACAATGCTTGCTACAAAATAAGGACTTAATAAAAATGTTAATTAATGATAATCTAAGCATTTCTAATGACCTTTCTGGGGCTATTCCCTGACTTTAATTATCCCTTGATCCACGCAGGCAGCAACTACATCACCTCTCAGAATTCTAAGGGTAACCTTGAGTGGTTGAGGTTTTCAAGTACCGTTACTCACAAGGCCCTACAGGAGGGGTCCTCAACTTATTAACAGCCAGACAGAATTAGCTTTTAGAAAGGGTGTTTGATAAACAGGTATAACAAGGGCAACTGATGAAGAAATAACTACATACATACATGAGGTCCCCAGGGAGATTGGGTTCAAACTTAGAGAACTCATATAGTGAAAGGGAAAACTCACATTTCCTAGTTTCTAAGTCAGAATCAAACTCAAGTAGAATCAGGGTATACATAAGAATCCCTCAAAATGGCATACTGACTTAGTTTTAAAATGTTATCTATTTCTGTTACAATGTTATCTATTTAAAATGTTATCTATTAATGTTATTTATTTTTATTGCATTTTTATTTATTTTGTTAAATATTTCCCAATTATTTTTTCATATGGTTGGTGGTACTCAAGAGGATTGCCAGTCACATGTGTAACACCTCTGTTTCAAGTCTTTTTCTCTCTTCATGGAGTCCCTATGAAGTTCCCCTTAGATGTAGTTCTCTGCTAAGCTAGAGAGTCAGTGCCCTTGTGGAATACCAAAGCTACCTGTCTTCATGGGTCTAGTTTGTCCTTAGGATGCCTCTCAGCTCCAGATGCAGGCATTGTTATCATCCACTACCGTTTCAGGGACATAGCGACCAGCTTTAGTGGACACTACTGCTAATAGGAATTCCACATTTTTCTGCCTTTCAAAGTTCACAAAGTTGTCACCTGGTCAATCTGGAGCGGGGAAGGAGAAACTCAATCCTTCTTCCTTTCCTCTCCCCTCTCTCCCAATCTTTCACCACTGGATTCAATCATCATTGATCACTGCTAGTATACTTGATTCTGAACTAGCTGCTATGTTACACTTAAGTCCAAAGGTACGTCTCATTCTTTCACTTTTATCACAAGACATTTATCTTCATCCAAAGATCATTGTACTTCACTTCTCTTCTACAAAATTGATTAAAGACTCTAGGGTAGGTACTGTTTTTGTTTTTGTCAGTGTGCCTACAGGAACAAGCACAGCACCCTAAATACAACAGGTGCTCAACAAAAGCTTATTAAATTGGAAACTCTTTAACTCATCTGTAATCATAGCTTTAGAGAGTCAAGTAGAACATGGCGGGGTTAAGTGACCAACGGGTGGTCACAAAACTAGTTATATGTCAAAGGCAGAACCCAAATCCAGATTTTCCCAACTCCCTCCATCTGACCCTATATCTACTATGCCATGCTACAATAGCAAAAATATTATCAGTGAGAAATCTGCGGCACTCAAAAGATAAAGAGGTCAAATGTAAAAACGGCTAGTCAGTTTTTTTAAGCAATTACTGGGGGGAGGTGAAAGAAAAACATTTTCTGAAAACTTTACCTACACATACATACAAATACATATTTCCACATACATATATATATATATATATGTACCTATAAAAGTGTGTGTGTGTGTGTGTGTGTGTGTATGCATGCATGCACAACCTACAAAATAGCCAATAATTGGTTATCTTCAAGTAAAGCCTAGATGGCCACTTGCTGAGGATACTATGGGAGGGATTCTTGACTCTTCCAATTTTGAGTATCTGTGACTTATTATTCTGGCTCCTGAAAGACAATAAGATATAATGTAAATAGCAGTGATCTTTGAGTTGGGACAACTAGGTTTGAATCTATTCCTGATACATACTGTCATCATGGCCACGAACCAATACACTTGGCCTCTCCAAAATTCAGTTTCACCATCCACAAAATGGGGATAATACTACCAAATCTACTATACCTAACAGGATTACTGCAATGAATAATATAATTTTATAAATAAAACTGAAACAAATAAGATAACTTTATTACCCACGTACACACACACACACACACACATAAAAATTGGAGTTGTTACAATTTCATTAATATATGACATAAGGTTACAGGGAGTAGGGGAGAGAAGTAGAAACGCCAGTTCCATCTTATAAACATGGACTCCAATGTTATAAATATTATAAAAGGGATGAGTCAAAAATGTTACATCTGGATTTAATGTTTTATGCTGGAGTTTAGTCATAATGAATTTTATGTTGGAGTTTAGTCATAATGAATTAATGATACTATGGCTGAGCAGCTTTTGCCAAGGTATTCTTTAGGTGGGCTATGCCTACATTAATTCAATATATAAAGAAACTGGATGAGGATGTTAACAGAAAACCTTAAGAAATGTAAAAGCAGAACTTTTTAGATATGTTAAATTTAATTGCCTCTTTTTCCCATTTAGCTTGAAGCACACAGTATTTAATCTTTTTTAAAGACTGGACCAGTGATTTCATTAGGTTAGAGAACTCTGAAGGAGGAAAATTACTCTAAAGATGCAAATCAGTATTATAACCTGTTCTACAATTTATAGACCTAATTTATAGACAACATGATGTCTCTCTAAGAAAGCAGGCCTCAGTGCCAGAAAAATCTGGAGTTAAGTCCTGCTTCTGACACACACAAGTATATGATACTGGTTAACTCTATTCACTTCAATCATATATATGTAATAGGAAGGACAAATAGCAAATAAATAACGGAATAATACCTAGAGTGTTATACGTGGTCAACTTCCCTTCAAAAGTTATACCAAAGGGTAGCCTAGGAAAGCATATTAGGTGGCTATCAGGAGGAAAAAATTTATTGTCATATCCTTTACTGTAGGGAGAAACCTTGCTCAAATCTCATTAGAATGTTTGGAATTACCTGCTGATACACATCTCAGTGAACTTACATACCGTATCTGGAAACTGCCTGTGTGTTGGCCAAAAGGCTGTAATGTCCTTATGACCTTATTTGAACTCTATGTAATGAAAAACTTACAAGGGCTAGGGGAGTGGGTGACACCTTTTTCAGTCTACCCCTATTCCAAACAATTTAATATACTTTATTCTGAAAACTTTTTTAAGGTTTTGGGTTTGTTCTCAACTAACACTATTTATATGTTATAATTTACTGTTCACTGGACAAAATAATCCACCCCTCCCCTTCCCAATTAGCAGCAAAGTACCTAAAATTCTACAATTAAAAGGAATTCATTCCATTGAAACATTGCTTTCTTCAGGTTTCTTTATTTAAACTGCAAATAGCACAGAAAGAGTACCACATTAAGTTAATACTAACAATTTAATTTTTAAGTATGGATGGGAGATTGGGTAGGATATAAAGAGTTATGGATTTTTCTGACATTTCCTTGAAGAAGGAGGGCCTGGTTGGAGATCTGGATCTGGAGAACTCAGTTACCTCTTCCTTTTTGGCTTTGATTTACCAAGTTCTGAAGCATATTGGGTGTTAAGGGAGGACTAGTACCTCTGGTGTGAGGGTCTGCCAAGCCCTTTTCAGGACCACTC